GGAAGCCAAGGTGGCTTTTCAACTTTGCAGGGTGCATTCAGTGTCTGCTGCTGGGGGCAAACTGCCCATTGCAGCAGTGTTGAAGTTAACAGTCATTTGTGATGAGATGAGGCTTTTTTGTGTGTGTGTGAATGTTATCCTCTCCTCATTTCCTTGTATTTTTCTAGATTTCACTGCTCAAAAAGGTAGTACTTGGAGAAAAAAAGACAACTGGCTAATAAGGAAAAAGTTGCTCAAATTCTGTATCTCAGCTTTTACTGAGACAACACTGTGCATAGGTGAAGGATTTCATGTTTTGAAATTGTATATATGATTTGCATGTATGTAGGTAGCTAAACGATGATGAAAGAGCTTTTAACTGACAGTAATCATACCTGGCTTATATATGATGCTTGTTATCTGTAGAAATATTTCTTTTTTATAGAGAGATACAGTATCATTATTTCTGTTTTTTTTTTATCTTGTAGAAATGGGAGGGAATGGCAAAGATCCACAAAGAGTATCAAAATTTCCTAAGTCCCAGTAGTGCTTTGTCTGTTAGACCTTCTTTATGGAGGCTGAAAAAAACTTGTTCAAGTTGATCTTAAAATAAGCAAAACCTATATGCATTTATAGTAGAGGACATTAAAGTTATTTTCAAAGAGGAGCAAGTGTTTATTCTTCCTTGAATGCCTGTATCTAAAAGTATATGTGATGTTATCAGTCTCAGTTAGTGCTAAGCCAGCCCACAGAAATGGTAGCAGCCCTTCAACTTCCTATTTGTGAGTGTAAGCAGTGGAAAAGGGAAGAGTAGAGGTTTTTAGTTATATTGAGGCAAACTCCGGCAAGATCCCTAGAGTTATTTCAGAGACAAATGAAATCAGGCTTTTGCTAAGATGTTCTTTGTACAAACAGAGGGGGTCCTAAGAGAGAATCATTTCTTTGCTCACCTTTTCACTTAGCAGATTTCCCAAGGCAAGAAGAATAAAACCACCTCAAACCTTAACAGATGGTAAATCAGGATTAAGTCACCACTGTCACCTTTATTGTGGAATTACAGCTAAAGGCAAGGTAAGATCAACCGTTAGTACTCAGTGCCAAGACTATGGGCTAGGTTCAGCCTCAGTGTAACACATGGTTCGGCGATGGCAGAGCTGGGCTGCAGGAGGCTCCTTAGGCTACCTAGCAGGAGGGGAGGCTCAGCCAGGTGCCTCTGCTGAAGGTACTGAACTGAGCTCTCCAGTGAAGCTGGCCTTCGACACATCTCCTGCTTCTTTCCTGGGATGACTTCCCTTGTCTGCCATCACTGCTCTGGTGGCTGGATGTTGTTTGCGTCCTTCCTCTGTGCCAGTTGAGTGAGCTGAGCCTCACATATCTGGGCAGCCTCAGGTAAAATAAGTGTGGGTTAGCAAGGAGCACGTGTGAAACGCAGGTGCTCTGTGGTATCTGACTCAACCAGGTGCTAAGTGAGAAGCAGGCTGTAGCCTGTTGGCTGACACCTTTCCTAACAGCCTGGCCTTCCTCTTGGTCACTTTAAAGCAGATTTTGGCCATGCTTGTGTATTGCCTTTTCTCCTCCTGGTATCCCTCTCCAGTTAAGCCTATTTGTTTGCAAACCTCCTGTCCAAAGGCTCTTGATTTAAAGAGCTTGTTTACTTGCTACTGAGGCATGTACATTAAAAAGACCTGCCCAAGGCTAATGACTAGGAACAAGGCTCAAGTCTCTAAACTTGCATCATTCCCTGCCTTTTCAGTTATGGGATGCCTGCCAAGTTGACATAATGTGCCAAGGACACATAATAAAACAGAGCTTATGAATAAATAAAATGTATTCCACTAACCTGTGGATATTTTCTTCTTATCTTGCCTTTACCCCATCTCTTTGTTTATCTTTCTTGCTCTCCATCCATTTCTTCTGTTTAGCTTCTCCTCCTTTTCTAGAGTTTGCTTTTTCCTTTTTAATTTATGGGGTCATCTTACTTTTTTCCGGTACTGCTTCTTTCCAAGGGGAGAAAAAACACCTTCAGGAACCAGACAAGCTGCTGTCTGATTGCCCTTGTCTGGTTCTGGGTAGAGGGCCAAATCCCCAGCTGATAGAGGCTGTCCTTGACCTGTTAAATTCAATGATTCTGCACCAGTTAATGTCTGAATATCTGCTCCAAGGCTTAACCCCAGTTTGCTTTTATTTTTTACTGTTTATCCTTTGCTGTGTCCTGTTTCCTTCTGGTCCCTTTTATTTTTCCGTATTCTACTGATATTCTTTCCCTTTATATTCTGCTTTCCGTTATATGTGCATCTGCTCTGTTCTGTATCTTGTCTTGTACCATTAGTCATAGTTTATCTAAACTCTTTCCAGTAATGTGTTAAACTGCTGTCATCTGTCTTGTGTGCATAACTTTCTCACCTTTTCTTAGAAGGGAGATTCTGTATGTGACAGTTGTTCGTAATGAATTTGTTTTCTTTTGTTTTCTGTTCTGTTGTAGAAAAGAGGACTTTGTGTATCTTGCTTGGAAAGGAAGATGGTGCTGACTCTGTTGGTCCATAGTTTCTGAAGGAGTTTGTTCCACATTTATGATCTTGTTTTTAAGTGGGATTTGTCTCCTGCAAGGAAGACCTTCCTTGTGTTAGAAACTACCATTGTGACCATCATTCTTGTTCTGGAGCTTTTTGTTTACTCTGAATCCAGACTATTCACAGAGTTACAGATAAAGCCTGAGACCTTGAACTTGATGCGCTAATCTGCAAGGAGCTAGGATTAGTGTGGAGTAAGCATGGTGGTTTTGTGTGGCTTGTAAAGGCAAATTTGCGTGGCTGAATTTTTGGTAACGTTGATGTGAAGGAGGGTGAAAAGCTTCTCTCATTTTGGCTCCTCTAAGTCGAGATTTGGTAGAGTAGGACTTATTTTTCCTTTCACTCTTGGTCTGCTCTGTTCTGCTGTGCGCTCTACTGTGGATACTGCCTTCCAGTATCATGCTTCCCTTTTACTTTTCCATAGCTTTTCCGTTTCCCTAACTGATGTCTGTCCTGCCAGGTATTCCCAATGTCCTCAGCCTTTGCTATAATTTTCTGTTCTCCATTCCTTCATCCACAAACTTTCCTGCTCATCTTCTCCCCCTTCAGCCTGCTGTGGCTTATCTTATTTACAATTTTACCTTCCCATCCCAGGAAGTTTACTCTAGGTCAGTTGCCATCCCTTCGAGGTAGGTGTATATCTTAAAGATTAAACTTGGCCAGGGAGAGCTGCCTGACCTCTACATCCAGCAGAACTGATACAAGTGATGATGGCAGTCAGGCAACATTAGATGCCTTTTATCTCTGGCATGTCCCCTCTCTTGCCCTGCGAGGGGTTGTGCTGGCAAGGCATGGGTGTATGTGCTCTGCTGGAGCTGTGTGCTCTCTGTTCCTGGGACAGCTGGAGTGTCGTGGGGGTAAAAGCTAATAAATGAACTTTTCTCTATTCCCTTTTTTGGTAATGTTTTTGTCTTACCAGGCTTTCAGTAAAAACCCGCAAAGGGCACATGGACAAAGCAATGTGCTGCTGCTTTAGGGAGGACAGGTTATCTATTATCTGACCTAGAGAGAATTTTGCTTTTTTTTCCTTTCCTCTTTTGTACATTTTTCTTTTTTTTTTCCATCAGCTCAAACAATGTAGATGCCAACTGATATCTTAAAAAAGAGTTAATTCTTGTACATGTTTTATCATTCTAGTTCAGTGCAATTCTAATGACAGGCTCAGAGCTCAGCCTGTGCAGAGGGTTGCTGGCCCCTCTCCTCTTTCACTTCTCAATAAAATAAAAGCAAAGGCAGAGGCTTTATGGGTTTGGAAATGTGGAAGTAGAACATGTCGACTGGCTATGTGACCTTGAATAAGTCACTTCTCATGTCTCAGGTTCTATTTCCAAAGTATGGAGCTCAAAACATTCACCTCACAGGAATGGCTTAGTTTTAACTTAAAAGTTAATAAAGTGCTATGAGGTTTACGGACAAAGAGTGTCTTGTGTGTAATAGGCTTATAAAGCTTTGTATTGCCAATTCACTGCCCCCATATAGGTGGCATTTTATATGTCTTGGTGCTTTATTCTTTTTCTCTGAGTCTAACTGACTGACTGTTGCTGTTGATGTAACAACAAGCAGGTTGTCTTTGGGAGACAGAAAACCAACCCGGGAAAAATCTTTGAACAGCTTTGATTTGCATGGAGGAGGTAAGACATGGGCTGGATAGTTTGATTAAAAACTGGAGGTGTAGCTCTTCTGATGGCTCGATGCTTCTCTGCCACCTCCTCTCCTCGAGCTAACAAGAGCTAATGCTGCTTCTCATGGTATTAACTGCTGTGGAGACACCAGCTGAGAAATCTCCCTGATACTGAGGGAAAGCATATTGCACACAGCGATGAGATTCTTGCTCTTAACTTTACTGGGAGAGGAGCTGACTTCAAAGTTTGTAAGATATAATGATAAAAGTGCAATATTACTTTAGTTTATGATTATTGTTATCAGTATGTTTAAAGGGGGGAAATTGGATTCTATCCCAAAGAAGACTTATTTTTATTGAAGGTTTTATTACATCTTTTCTCTTTTTTTTTAGTTAAAATTCTTTAGTTATCTGAATCACTGTAACTGCTGATTTAACTGGATTACAATTCCAAAGCTGCTTTGTAATTTTATGGACTTTGTTTATTGCCAGTTGAAAGAAGAGCAAACAGGGCCATAAGTTAGGTTTTGATTTTGAAAATAACCAACTCATTGCTGCAGCACTTATTCAAGTCACCCCTCCATGTCTTAGCCCCAGCTAGTGACAAGCACTGAATTATGATTTCAGCGTGTCATTTTAGTAGCAGACATCTTTTTCCTGAATAAGCTGGACGCAGGAGGATTCTGCCCTGTATATTCTTCTTAGGCTTAGAAGCTCTGTATGCCTCCCTGTCCCTAAGACAGGCAGTGTTTACACTGCAAAGGACAGCTGGCATGGATCAGTGCTGCTGTTTGTAACTCACCCAAGAAACTAGTAAAAACTTGAGCTAGGGGTGTAGCGTGGGCCTTTGCTGGTACTTTAGCTCAGTTCCATTGGTATGGAAACACCGATGGTATTCATGGCCTTGGCATTTTTTGTAAACTATTCTTTTCGGGGAGTTGTGATTTGGTCTTATCGTTTGCTGTGTGTTATGTCATGCAAAGAGTTTTTCCTCCTTTAAATTTTGATTAATTTGTTAGGATGATAGACTCTAAGCATGAAACTAAGGACAAGGTATCCCTTTGGGTCACACAGTGTATTTAACACTCAAATAAGAAGTGTTGTGAACCTGTGAAGCTTAAAAATGAGGAGAGCCTAGTCTCCATGCGCTTGCTGCAGAGTGCTCGTTCCTGCCTCTCTGTATGGGGTGCTCCATCCAACTTCTGTCTTTGAAGTCAGCTTTTCCGGTGCCTTTTGTCAGTGCTGGTGGCAGAGGATGTGTTTCTGCCTTCCTAAGCTCTCAGGTGTCCGTGCAACTGAGCAAAAGCTCTAACTGAAGGAAACAGTTAGGCGCAAGTTTATTCAGAAGCTTATGAGAAGTCTGGTGTAACTTTAAAGTAACTGTTTTTGCTTGTACATCCAACTTTATCTGAAACTTTTGGATTAAATCCCAGTTGGCATCTCTGGCAGTTGCTGGCCGTTGAGCTAAGGCTTGGATCTTCAGATGCATTTGTCTCTTAGTGACAAATCCTAGTGATTTCAGCTGGTATCAAGTGTTTAAATATTCAGATATAAAGACTGAACTTTAAATAACTGAGGGGCCTCTGGGGCCTATGGGAAACTGCTGCACAAATAAAGCAAGAGGAGGAAGCCTTTGCACCTCTTCCTTTCCTGCAGGCCGAGTCGTTCTGCAGCATCCTGCTGTGAAGCACTGTTGGATGCTGGTTGCTCGCTTTGAAACTTGTGGCATTGCCTTCATTCTGTCATCGTTTATCTCTGTTCAGTTTTATTGAGGACACACTTCATTCGAATGTAGGCCGAAAGAAAGAAATGTAATTTCAGGTGTCGTCCACTTCCTCCCAGAGAATTCTAGATGAACTCTGCTGGTTAAAGCCAAACTGGATTTTGTTTAAAGCGGCATTCAGTGATACTTTACTTTAAGCAGCTGCTTGTAAAGGGAAACCAAAAACTTAAATATATATTGTTCTTAAATCAGTTTCTTCAGATGCACTGGATGTGCTTAACTAAAGCTGACTCTGGCTCTGAAGTTATTCCCTACTCTAACACTAGGTAGAGTCTCTGGAAATCTATGCTCTCAGCTCAAACCGAGGCTTGGAAAATACTGATCCTGTGGAGGATTGTTTGCTCTCATCCTTAGGGATGTGAGTGGTGAAGTAGGAACACAACCATGCTCAATTTAACACCAAATGTTGCAGCAACAGAAAAAAAAAAAGGAAGATTTTTCTCCTTTTGGTGGGTGGATTTTCTCCTTTCGGAGGTCAGGTTCTCAGATCTCTGTCTGAATCTGTCTGTATGAACTGCTGTCATGCTGTGGAATCCCTCTGAAGTCCTTGGAACTTTTTGTGGAAGTTTGTAAATCTGTATAGCTGAAGTTCAGCCCAGGCAAAAACCTAGGAAAACTCTATACTGTCATGTGCTTGCTTCACACGTTTTCTGGCGAATGTCTTTTCTTGCTAAATGCTTTGTGGGGACAGCCAAGTATGCAGGGAAGTATGCAAGCAAGTATGCAGGAAAAACACCTTTGGTTTGTGAGGAAAGGGAGAGCTAATAAATACTCTGATGCACTGGAGGGATCTGTTCAAAAGGACCTCAACAGCCCCGAGAATGGGCTGACAGTAATCTCATGAACTTCAACAAAAAGAAATGCAGTGTACTCCATCTGGGCCGGAATAACCCCATGCAATAGTACAGGCCCAGGAACTGACTGGATAGAAAGCAGCTCTGCACAGAAGGACACGGGCGTCCTGGTAGGCAACAAGGTGAACGTGAGTCAGCAATGTGCCCTTGCAACAAATGCCAACCACAAGCTGGGATGTGTTGGCAAAGTGGTAGCCAGCAGGTCCAGGGAAGCGATCGTTCCCCTTTTCTTAGCGCTGTGTGACCGCGTCTGGAGGACTGCGTCTAGTTTTGGGATCCCCACTAAAAGAAAGACATTGACATACTGGAGTGAGTCCAGTGAAGGACCATCAAGGTGGTCAGGGGCCTGGAGCACACAGCGTACAGGGAGAGAGAGGCTGACAGAGATGCATTTATTCAGCCCAGAGAAGACAAGGCTCAGGGGATATCTTTCTTCTATCTACAACTGCCTTAAGGGTGAGTATAGAGAAGACAGAGCCTAACTTTTCTCAGAGATGCACAGCAATGGGAGGAGAGGCAAAGGACCCAAATGGGAACACAGGACATTCTGATTAGGAAAAGCCTTTTCATTTGGAGGGCAGTCAAACACTGGCCCAGGTTGCCTAGAGAGTTTGGGCAATCTCTGCCCTTGGAGACATTCGAAACTTGGTTGGCCGTGAGCAGCCTGCTCTACCTAGACCTACTTGGAGCATTGAGTTGGACAAGATGACCTCCAAAGGACCCTTTGAATGCAAATTACTTTTTGATTCTACCTGAAGAGTCAAGGAGAGGGATGGAATAAAGTGATGTCCACTGTAGAAATGGGTGAGCATATGCCTCAAAATCTGTGCTTCAAGAAATGTGAGTCTTCTAGAGGCTGAAGTATGGATGAGCTTGCACAGTTGCCTCATGTCCCCAGAGCCTGGCCTGCATCTCATGCTTCTTTCACACAGTGCTACAGTTTCCCTCTCCCACTCTGAGATGGTACCTGATGGACACAGCTAGCTGGTTTCATCTGTAATTTGCCAGATCAGCTACTCCAATTGCAGGAAGACAGTATCCAACTCCTTTTTACATGCAGAGGTTTTTAGGCTCAGTAACGTCCCTCTTGAAGATATCCTTTCCAGCTTCATCCCTATGACATCCCTTAACATGTGGCCTCGTGTCATGCATTCTCACATGTTGTAAAAGTTACTTGGATGCTTTAGAAATGATTGTCAGGTCTAAACAGATTGCAGGACTTACACCAGTGAATTCTGGCGCTCTATTTCAGTGTTGTCTGTAGGTCAAGAGAATGTTTTTTCTTGAACAAGACAGCCTCCTTTACAGAAACAGAAATGCTTCGAAGATTTTTATAGTTTTTCAGTTGAAGGTTTTACCCAAAATACATTCTTGTTGCCTAAGAGACTTTGTAAATATCTTTAAGATTTTTATTATGGTAAAAAAAAAAAAAAAAACCTTTGGTTATTACTGAGATTAATATACTTTTTTCAAAACATCTGAAAAAAAAGTAACTTTAGCTACTCAGAATGCCAAGTAAAATTAGTTACGTAGTAAAGTAAGAAAGTGAATTGTTAAGGAGAATTTGGAGAGACCCTGTTTCAACTATCCGTCGCAGGGACTCCATTCCAAATCTGCTCATTCAGTATGTGCGCTCATGGGCTGGAACTGCAGTGCAGGATGTTTAAGCAGATGTTAGGAAAACAGCCTTGTGGGGACAAGGGTATTCAAGTACTGCACTGGATTCCACAACCTCTCTGGGCAGTCTTTATCATGGGAGATTAAATAAACATCTGTCAAAACTTGTTTAGGAATAACTGATCCTGCCTTGAGAAAAGGGAGGGATTGAATTATATGACTCTTCAAGGCCTGTTCTAGACCTATTTTTTTTAGTTGCTAGTATTTTAATACAGTAATTATTTTATTTATAAATACAAAATAAAGTGACTGACACAAAACCATAACAGTGTTGTGTGGAGAGAAAAGACAGTTCTGAAGCAGTTTATCCTAAAATTAAGGTTTTACAGCATAAAACTAACAAGGATTAGAAAGTTATGGGGAGCCAGTTCAGTGGTTTAGTACCATGTCATCTGTGGCTGAATTGCCCTTTAGAGAATTTCGAGGCTGTGGCTGAGTGCTAGTGAAGGTGTGATTGCTAGCACAGGCAGAGCTGATTTCAGCTGTGTCATAACAGGTTTTTCTGCTATGATATACTCTAACATAGTCATGGGTTTTATGTTACTGCTTGAAAGCTCAGGAGAGTCTTAAATGGTACATAGGCCTGAGAGTTAGAGAAAACTATCATGTCTAATTGTTTATCCCTTTATGTTAGGTCCGGAGGGGGTGTAATGGTTGAATAAACTGTGCATTTTCTCACCTCTGTCAACATATACC